TGAGGCAGCACAAATTCAAGGCTGATCTAGGTAACTTGGGGGGACCTTCTCTCAAAATAAAATAAAAAACCTGGGGATATAACTCAATGGTAGAGTGATTGCTTAGCATGGACAAGGCCTCAGGTTCAATCCCAAGTACTACAAAAAATAAAACACACACACACACACACACACACACACACACAAAAGAAAGAAAATGGGCAAAAGGTATTAAAAGACACACCATCAAAGATGTTCAGAAGGCAAATCTGTACATGAAAAGATATTTAACATTCTCAATCATTAGGGAAATACCAATTAAAACTACAAGGAGATGCTACTTTGTACCTATTAGAATGGCTAAAGGTTTTTTTTTTGTTTTTTTTTTTGTTTTTTTTTTTGTTTTTTTTAATAAAAAAACAAGAAGCTCTGCAATGGCTTCTCTTCTTATTTCAGAGAAGACCCAAGTATCTTCAAGGGTCTACAAACTTGTCCATGAGCACCTAGCCAGTTTCCTCGATTATTTTTATCTGTATCAGCTGCACTGACATCTCAGCTGTTGTTTTAAGATCCTGGCAGGTCCTGACACAGGGGGTTGTTCTTTCTTCAGCTAATACACACTCCTCCCAGGGTAGCCATGTCACTCAAATGCAGGGCCTGTCCTCAACACCATAAAATTTCAAAGCCATCCTAACCACATCTTATCTTCCTTCTGTTTTTTTATTTTTTTCCTCAATCTTTGGTACTAGGATACTATCATATATATTTTATTCATTTATATTATTTGGCATCTGTCTCCTATACCACAACTCAGTGGGGGCAGTATCCCAATGCCTGGAACACAGCATGCATTTGCATATCAAGTAGACAGATTATGACACTATTTCTCTCTTTCAAAAAAAAATTTTTTTTTTGAGACATGGTCTCATTCTATAGTCCAGGCTAACCTCAAACTCTCAGTGATCCTCCTGCCTCAGCCTCCCAAGTACTGGGATTACAGGCTTGCACCACCATGTCTGGCTCATATAGAATCTTGATTTAGGGTTATTCCAATTCCAGAGAATCCTAAATCATGAAAAAAAAGCCTAGAAAATTCAGAGTCCCAGCACTTACCCAATGAACTGTACTTGAAGTCATTCAGCAGAGAGGGAACTGGTGCTTTAGGGGCAGGTAAAGCAGGCTCACATTCAGTTAGGTCTTCATCTTTCATTTTATCCATCCTGGCTTGTTCTGTATTTAGACTATCCTTACCAAAAAAACAAAAAATAAAAAGCAAACAAACAAGAACACCACTCACCTGAACTTTTTCTGTGTTACTGGTGCTATATGAAGATTTTGCTACACATAAGAATAAAGATTGTCAGCTGGGCATGGTGGCAAATGCCTTGAATCCCAGCACTTAGAAAGCTGAGGCAGGAAGACTGCCAGGAGTTCAAGTCCAGCCTAGGCTACAGTGAGTTCAAGGCTACCCTGAACTATGCCAAAAGACCCTGGTGCCCTCCTCTACACTCCTTGCTAAAAAAAAAAAAAAGAGTAAAGACTGCGCTGGGCTTGGTGATACAAGTCTCTAGTCCCAGCACTCAAGAGACTGCAGCAGCTAGATTGCCATGAGTTTGAGGCCAACCTGGAGGTACTACTGAGTTCAAGGCCAGTCTGATTTATAAGGCAAGAGCCTATTTCAAAAACTAAATAAATGATTTTATTTATTTTTATTTATTTATTTGTCTTTTTGAGGCAAGGTCTTGCTATGCAGCTCAGGCTGGCCTTGAGCTTTGTAGCCCAAGCTGGTCTCAAATTTACAATGATCCTCTTGCCTCAGCCTCTTGAGTGCTGGGATTACAGGCATGTGCCACTATGCCTGGATTTAATCAATTAATTTTAAAAAGATTAAGGACCGTCGTTCTTCATGGCCATTCAGCCACTGTTTATGTGGGGTCAAAGATGCTATGGAAAGATGGATACATGGAAAGCTGAGGCAGGAGGATTGCCATTGAGTTGCCTGGGCTAGTGAGTTCAAGTGAAGCCTAAACTACATAGTGAGGTGAAAGCAAGCAAGCAAGCAAGCGAGAGAGGGGACAGGGGAGAGGAAAGACAGGAAAGAAAGGGGGAAAGGGGGAAATTCATGTTTTCCTTTTCCTTTCTATTCTCTTCAGGAATCAAGAAGCTAGTGGATTTGAGTTAAATCTTTCTACCCTGATGTGCGCACTTGGAAAAAAACTCTAAAATGAAGACAATTATCCCATCATACCTAACAGAAGATGTTTTTTCTCTCACAGATGCTTGTTCCACCTCATCCAGGGGTTCCACTAGGAAAAAAGATATTCACCAGTTTACAATCAGAAAGAAATTAACTACATCACTCTCTCACACCCAGTTTGCCAATGACTGCAAAAATTAATTGGAGGGGCTGGGGAAATGGCTCAGTGGATTAAGCGCTTCCCTGGCAAGCGCAAGGGCCTGAGTTCAATCCCTGGTTCCGAAAAAAAAATAATAATAATAATTGGAAATGAAACGTTAGTCCACACAGACCTTCATTAGACAGCAATGAAGAAGGCACAAAAACTACTCACAGCAGTACTGATTTCCAATTTTATGACCTCGGCTTTTCATTCTTTAGTGAGTTTAGGAACTTCTATTTCTTTGTCCTTTTCTCCCCAGGTGCCTATATTGTTTACATCAGCTCTACTGACGAGAGACA